CGGCTTTGAGGCCCAAAACGCGAAGGACTAAGTAAGAAGGCCGTAAAGGATACTCCGGCCCAGAGAGCAATGTTACTCCGGCTGGGAGAAGTAAATGTTACTTCGGCTCATGGATGTAAAGCTACTCCGGCCTTGGGAAGACAAAGTTACTTCGGCCCAAGAAAGAAAGTAAAACTACTCCGGTCTGGAGGCAACTCACAGTTAGGCCGATCTCAGAGTTAGTCCGGTCGTGACTTACATGGTTAGGTCGGTCAGAACTTGTTACTTGGAAGTTTATCTAAGCGCATCAAGGTTGAACAGGGCAGCCGAAGTAAAGAGTTGGAGGAGAGGACCGAGCTAAGGATAGTCGGCCTTCTTGTGGCCCGGTATAGCCAAGGTTTATTTCGGTCAAAAGGAAGTTCGGCCATAAAGAAAACCATCCCACTTGGTTTAAGCAGTGGGGGAGGGTGTAAAAGGATAAGCATTATCCTTAGGAGTTTGAATCATAGGAGGACTCTGCATGGAGAAATACAAGTCCTACTAGGAATGTGCCATATGAAACTTATAAAAGCTCACAAGCATCACCTTGGAGGAGGTAGTTGAACACAATCTTTCTGAGAACTTAGAGCTTTGTCTATTTGTCAAGTTTTTTCTGACTTATAAAAAAAAACACAAAAAATAAAAAAATAAAATTTTCTTAAAAGTATTTTGAAAAACTAGAAACCAAGGTGAATACTATTCTAATGATGGTACACCACTAACATGTATTTCCAGTACAATGCCGGATAGTAGATATGCAGCACATCAAATATATAGTGAAGTCCTCAAAAAAAAAAATATATAGTGAAAATGATAGAAAAGGTTAAAAGCATATTGTTGAAAAATCTTTAAAATGTTTATAAAAATACAAAAAGTATTTTGAGATATGGGAAATATTTGTTAAGATAATAAATATTTTCACATTTTGTAATTTTTATTGAAAGCCTTTGAACTGTCATTTTCAAGAACCGAAAGAACCGAAAATGATAAAAATAAATTTATTTTATTTTATTTTAATTTATCTTTTGTATATATACCATTACTTTTGCTGAAAATTAAAAGGTATTAGCAGGGGAAAATAGTGAAGGAAAGAAGTTAGATAGGAAAATGGGATCATGTGAGGTGCTACAGAAACTATCCATCCATGTTACTATCTATCAGCATTTCACACAAACCCCACGAGCACATCTAACCTCACCTCTTAAACCCCCCCTTGCCTTCTATTTCAACTCAACCTCATTTCATCTACTCTCTCTCTCTCTCTCTCTCTCTCTCTCTCTCATTTGTTTACTTGGGGAAGGTTGTTAAGAAAGGAAGGATGCACATGCACCCGTGAGTCAAAGCTCTTTGGCACGTGCCAGAGGTAGCATACACACAGTTCCAAAGAAAAGTACAAAACTCGCACGTTTCAACCACTGAAGATCTTTTTATCTTATCGTCTATAAAAATGGGCTTAGAAGTTAGACAATGGCAAAGTGCACAGACCTCACTGATTCACCTGAGTCTCTCAGGTACGTTATCTTTGTTTTCTTTGTTTTTCAAGAGTTGGGCTATTTTGAGGCTTTTTTAGATTCATAAAAGACTTGGATTGATTTTGTTATGTTTTTATTTTTTTTAAATTTTTTTTATTGTTTTGCAGATGAGTTATGAGGTGATAGAATTATTGAAGAGTATGATATATATGTAGATGTAGTCTGATCGACAACGGGTGAGTGGTTTCCTTGCTAGGCTTGTCAAGTGAACAGTCTTTCGCTATGAGCCTTTGTTTCGTTGTCTGTTCGACCTTGAATTTATGGTTGATATGAAAAAAAAAAAAAACCTAGTTAGAATCGATTTAAATTGTATGATATAACTTTAAATAACCTTTGATTAGATCAAAACCGATCAACTATAGTATTGGTTCGAAGATTTATGCGATACATGCTTGGCGTTCTGCTGAACTTCTCTGCCAACATGAACTTCCGTGCCATCTCTCTTTCACTCAGAATTCAACCTCGATCATGCTTATTTTTTCGTTTTAGAAGACTTCTAGTGTGACGATAAGTAACAGCCTGTTTAGATTCATACAAGGAGGAAAGAAAACACAATATTTCTGTCCCAACTTAATCATTTATTCTCCTTTCCGATTCCCAAAAAGACTATAGTCATCTAGCTTAGGTTAGAATTCAGATACGTAGTTCAAGGTTTTAATAGCTCATTTTGATTCGTATAAGAAGGAAAGAAAACAAAATCTTCTTTCTCCCAACTTAATGATTTATTTTCTATTTCGATTCCCAAAAGGACTGTAGTCATATAAATTAGGTCAAAATTCAGATATACAGTTCAAGGCTTTTTTTATTTTTTTTATTTTTTTTGTCAGTTTGCATCATCTAGGTTCTTTTTATAATTATTTCGATCACCCTTAGCTTGTAGGTTAGATCTATTAATAAATAGATGTCTTTGTCTTTACCAGATTAATCAGTTATTCATTGGATATCACATAACAAGATGAGTATATGGAAATTAATTTGCATTGCATGTAAGGAAAAACCAGTATGACTTACTTCTATGGCCTGAAAACTCTAGGTTTTTGTATAACCACCAAGTGAGATTATCAAAGCCAAACAAAAAATGAAGGATGAACATTAACAACAATTAGGGGTTTCGGATATAAGTCCCTCATTAAATTAAAGAATTAGTACTTCTAACATAAGATGGTGATCTTTTTGAATTCATTCTCTGAATGCATTATTTTTATGAAGGAGCCTTGAACAAAATGATACGTTGTAATAGACCGAACAAAAAGATGGTTAACAGCACAGATAATGAGCCAGTTTGGTGCAGTTTGTTATAAGTTGAAAACTGATAATTGGAAAATTATTCCTTCCCCTGGTTTTCAATAATCAGTTGAGAAAATTATTTTTACCCAGTAAACTGTAAGTAGAAGTTGTATCTAACACTCTACCACAGATTTTCAAAACAAAAAAGCAATAACCAACCCCAGATGCTGCACTAAACATGACTAATGATCTATTAAATTTTGGTGTATATTTAGATAGATTTTTACTTTTATTCTTTGTTAGATAGGCTGTATAGTTAGAAAGTTGGTTGATGCATAAGATGGTCTCTGCCTGTGTGTTCTATGAAGGATGACTGAGAAGAGGAATGTGAGGTAAAAGATCCAAGTGGGGACTCCTTGGTAGCATTTGAACACTGAGACATATGTAAGGTACATTTATTGAAGGACAACTAGCGCTGTAAAGTACAGTTAATTAGGACAACTAGGGCTGTTTGGCCGATGTGGTTGCAAACTTGGGCCATAACCTTTTGACAAGTGCTACTTACTGCGAATTTTCAAGAACACGACGATATTTTCTGCAGTGATTGGTTGTTGTTGGATGGTGCGTTTACTCAGCGACAGTCAATTAGTCTAACATTAATATATAAGAGTTTTAGAGATTAAATTTTTTTATTTTAAAAAGTAAAAATTTTGTTGTAAAAAATATTTAGGGATCAATTTAGATCATCGTAAAGATAGTTCCTGAAAGGCAGTTCCAAAAAGTCAAATACAAAAATGATAAAATTTTAAAAATGTCACTAATAAATACACTTTTAGGGATATAATAATTTGGTCCCGAAAAAAATTAGTTTTTAAGATAAAAATTTGGTTCCAAAAATATAATAATTTATCACTAATGTCTAATATAAAAATATAATGATAACACTTTTCGTGACAAAAATATTTCACTCCTAAAAATAATTTTATCCCTAAATTTTAGTTTCCAAAACTTTAATTTTTATGTAGTGTAACGTACAATTGTGTGGGGCTTAAAGTCACAGTAAGATAGTTTTGATTTAAATGTTAAAAAGTTATTAAAAAAAGCTAGAAAGCTTGAAATTTATATGAAAAATTTAAAGATTTTATTTTCTCTCTACGTTTTGCATATTTTTTTGTAAAAAATTAAAAAATCATTTCAAACATATTAATTTTTTTACATCATATTTTGCCTAAAAAATAAAAAAGTTACTAAAAAAACCTTGTTTCCAAATGAGGCCTAACTATATTATCTTGTATTTAACTTATTGCATTGACATTAAGGAGTGTACATCAACAATTTTGATTTCAGAAATGGTAAAAACACATTTTTAAATTTTAAGTTCATCGACAATAAGATGCAAGAGAGCCGACGATTAGTTGCCATTGATAAGGGGAAAAAACAAGAGGCAGTAACAAACACAAAATTTGGTCACAACATAAATTTGATATTAATTGATTTTTTATTCCAATAACATTTCTAGAAAAAAATCAGAAACAAGTGTCATTCTCTCCAAATAAATAAGAAGAAAAAAAATGAACAAAAAAAATTTTAATCCCCGTGCAGTATTATCAGGTATTGCCATTTGTTAGCTCCCATTCTGAAGCTCATATCATCACCATTATCCACCCATATCATTGTTGCATTGCATCAACCAAACTACAAGTAGATAAGAAATTTAAGAAGTCAATTTTAATTTGTATCAAACAACACCATTCAAGCCATAAATAGATATTCTAGCTAGAGATATAAGTCATTGGTAAGTTAGAAACCCAACAAAATATCAACTAACTCATAATAATCACAAACCCAACAAACATATAAGCAGAATCATCACCTCGTTTATCTTTGAGATGTAAATGATAAATCCTCATATACAAGTCCTCATTAGGTAGTATCGAGAAAGGAAAGAAACCAAGTGCTGTTTATTAATTTAAACAAACTAACATAGGAATAACCTAACTTAAGTAACAGTAGCTAAAAAGAAAGACATGGATGATATCTAATGGGAAGCATCTACCTGAAAATTATATGTATCTTTAACAAATAAAATTTACTAGTTGTGCTGTAATCAAACAATAATGTCATTTCTGTTAAAAAAAAAAACAAAAAATAATAATGTCATTTCTTTTAGAACTTTCAACAAACACCTACAAGGCGTGAATACAAAATTCACACAAATAAACCATAACTTACCAACAACCAAACAGAAAATAGCAGAGAAAAATATATGAAATCTGGATTGTATATAACAGCAATCATATAGACGCATATATGAAATATATATGAAATCTGAAATATATAGATGTTCATATATGAAATCTGAAATATATATACGTATATATGATATATATATATATATAATCTGAAATATATATGATTTTTCATATATACCTATATACATAACAGCATGAAAAATTTGAAATGACCTCGTCATGGCCGCAATCTCACCTTGCCGTTGAGCCGCGTCGTGTCCCTCCACCATCCTCTATCCTTCGCCGTCGCATCCCTCCACCATCTCTCTCAGTTGTTCTCTCCATCGTGTTCCTCCGTCGTCGTCTCTTCGCCTCTCTCTCTCTCTCTCTCTCTGTGTCTTTCTCTCGTCTCTGTTATGTTAGGGCTAAACAAATAGATGAGACGATAGAGAAAGATGAAAGGGAAACTCAAATTTTGAAAGAAAAAAAAAATTAAATTAAAAACGACGTCGTTTGGCGAGGGCCGCAGGGACTGCCACAGGAAATGGCGACCGAGGATCCGGATTCGTGATGCAAAGGGTGGGAGGGGCCCGCCCCTTCCAATTTTTGATTATTTATTAATAATTTTATATTTATGAGTATTTGTAAAATGTATAATGGAATGATTTTTAAATTTTAAAAGAATAATTTTACTAACTTTTTATTTCATTAATATTTTACAATATCTAATGAAATGATTTTTAATTATTTTACATTTTAAAAAATAGCATCAAATTTATCGAGCCGATTTATTAATACAAAAGACATATGACCCTTGTTTTTTAAATTTAAAAATTCTAATGGTATGTATATTTTTTTATGAGTAATATTAGAGAACCTAAAACTTCACTCATAAATTTATTCACAATGACATAGCACAAGGGTTAGGCCTTCGTTAATTGATATCTAAACAAATCAACTACATGTAACATCCAACGCCATTGAATGTAAATTTAAGGGTTATGCTGTAAGGGTCTTAAGTATTTTTTTACTTTTTATTTATTATATTACATCAATTAATAAAATAGCTTAGTGATTTAACCAATTGTTTACTGAGATCTAATAGTTCAAAACTGAAAATATATATATATATTTTTAAAATTTATTTCGTTTTCTAGTGAAATGCTTCTTTCATAAGTAGGAGTGTAAAAATAACCTGCGGCTTGGGCTAGGGCCCAACCCTTTTAGGCCCGGGCCCAACTTGAGACCTTCGGCTAGGTCCTAAGCCATCATTTTGAAGCCCGTCCCGGCCCTATCCATGGACCTGGCCCATCAGCTCGCTTAAGGCCCACTCAAGGCCCGGCTCGAGGCCTGGCCCGCCCAAGGTCCAGTGTTTTTTTGTATGGAAAATAATAAAATTTTGGTAGAAAAAATAAAAAAACAAAAAAATTTATTCAGGCCCGCCCCAAGCTCGAGCCCAGGCCTAGCCCACTAGCCCGCCCAATACCCGAATACTCCCTAGGACTGGGTCTAATTTTTTGGCACGCGGCCCGATGTAGCCCAAATTTTGACGAGAGCCCGCTAGGCCTGACATAGGTCGGGCTGGACCAAATTTACACCCCTATTCGTAAGAAAATATACTCCTCAATTAGTATTGTACCAAAGCTAATTCAATATTTTTATACATATATGTTGGCCCCTTGCGGATAAAATTCCTAGTTCTATCCTTGTGTACAATCATTTTGAAGAAAAATATTTACTTTAAATTTATATACAATATTATAATCTTTAAATTATACAAAATTCAACAAATTTTCTCTTGTATAATTTTTTTCTATTTTCTCTTAACTTTATTATTTTGCTTAAAAACTAATATATTCAAATAATTTTAGTACTTATAATATTGATTGTTCCAAAAAACTAAAAAATAAAATCATATGATTTGGAACCAAAACCAAATTGTTTCCTTTAAAAATCCATTTAGACCAATTCAAAAGACTAGTTTGACCATTTAGAATAGGAATATAAGAGAAATCGAAAAAAATCGACTAAATCGATTGAATCGGATCGAACCGATCATATTTGGTCGGTTCTTTAATACGACTTGGTCTGTTCGGTTTTGGAAATTAATTTTTTTCAGTTTTCGGTTCAGTACTGGTTTTGATATACTATACACTGATTTGCACCGAAATCGACTGAATATATTTACATATAATTAGGAGTGTTTGCGGTTTGGTTACGGTTGAAAAACCTTTAATTCGTCATCCATCCGCCGAATTGGCGGATTGAAAAAAAATAATCCGCATCCGTCCATCGGATTGACATATGCAGATTGGCGGATTGGCAGATTGATACAAATCGGTTTGGCGGTTTAAACTTTTACAAATTTTGAATATAATACAACAACTTATCAACATTTTTTTTGGATAACAATCCAACTCAATATAACCAAAAGATTATCAAAAACTAATAATAAATACATATAAGAAAATTATGCATTATCAAAATTATTTCATTACTTTTTTTATAGGGCAAACTTCACTTTACCCCCATGTGGTTTGGGTCAGGGGTAGATTTCCCCACTGACATTCGGAAATCACCACATAACCCCCATGTGGTTTATGAACTAAAACGCACACTAACTTCTATTAACAGAATGTATAAATTTACCTTTATGCCCCCATCTTCTTTCTCTTATCTCTTTTAAATTAAACCTGCTATTATACATACATACATATATATATATATATATACACACACACACACGCACACCTATTTTCTTTCTTCTTTCTTCCATACTACTAATTCTGACAAATTTCATTCCCACTACTCATCAACAGTAAATGCATATATATTATTCAATCATATATATATATATAACCTGTAAGGAAGCATATATATAATAGTCTATGCGTATATATGTTTTGTAATTCGTGGTGTGTTTTTCTTCAAATCTTATGTCTTCATAGAATTATATATGATGATACAGTTTGTTCCAGTGAATGGATCGGACTGGTCCAAGCTCCTCAAGCCCACGTCCAAATGATCAAGCCCACCGGATAACCTGCAAACAAGTTCAACGGGGAACTGGGTAGTCCCCCAGTGAACCCTTCGACGAGCAAGTTAGGAAGAGAAGTAGAGTACAGAAGGAGAGATTAAAGATAGAAAAATTAACCTTCTTCTTGTCTTCAACGTTTGCTTATATCCTTTGGTAATCATTTCGCTGTCCCTTCTGACCTGCCCTCTTCGCTGAAAGTCTATGCTGTAGCTTACCTTGTTCAGGGTAAGAGGGTCCTGTTCCGACGGAGAGGTGTTGTCGCAAAAAATGCTGTGATGGGCTGCATTAATGGTGATGTGTAGTGGCAATAATTTTGCATATCTTTGTCTGCTGATGTGGCTCGTCCTTCACCTGCCATGTGTCTAAATGTCATTGGCTCTTTATGCCATATTGGATTCCAACTGTTCTGGACCTCACCAGCTGGGTTATGTATTGGGCTCCAAGTGATGGACTTGGGTTGTTCATAGTGATTCATGGCCTTCATGGGTTTACACACGTCA